TCTGAGGCTTGTCTTTTTTACTCTCTTTATGGATGTCTTTGTTTTAAAGGATTTTTTGTTTGTTTTTAATATTTATTTATTTGACTGCACCAGGTCTTAGTTGTGGCATGGGGGATCTCCTCTCTGATCAGGGATCAAATCCAGGCCCCCTGCACAGAAAGCATTGCACAAATTTAAGTTATTTTTCTTAGTTTAGTTCATGAGATTTTCTGTTATCAGTAAGCTAGTATTTTTCTTGATTGTCTGTTGACACCATAGCAAACCTCCCTCCCTTAAAAATAACCAAGTAGAGAGTCTTCTTTTTGTTTTCTTATGAAACGCATAGAAGAAGACAGGAAAGGGAGAAGGAAGCATTTACTAAACATCTGCTATGCTCCAGGTCTGTGCCAAGAACTTTATATCCACCACGTCAAAGGTCTTCTCAGAACCATCTTTGTTTTACTGAAGAGAAACAGGAGGCTCAGAAAGATAGGATGACTTCATCAGTGTCACATAGCCAGTAAGCAACAAAGCTGGGATGCAAACCCAGGGTCAGTGGGACTCTAAAGTCATACATGCTGTTTTTCCCACACTGCACTGCCTCTGTTAAACACATCACAGAGAAATGATGTGTCCGGATATTGCGTAGTACAAAGTTGTAGAACTGGTTGAACACACTTCTCCCCCTTCTGTGTTCTGGCTCCTCTGCCCGTACTGCCAATACAAACCCTGGCTCACTCACCCTAGATCGCGCACTCCTGTCTGCCCACATTGAAAGATGAGCTCACCCCCAAGGCAGAGAGAAGAAGCCCCTTGTCCCAGGGACAGCAGCAGTCCTGGGGGTTTCTCTTGCCTCTCCCAGGTCCACACCTGTCCTCTGAACCTTTGCTTAATTCTGGGTGTGACCCCGGATCTGACTCAGCCTTCATACTTTCACATTGTTTCAACTGGTTTCTTCTGGTCAAACACCTGGACCTGACCTTGCTTCTCCCACTAGTTTCACTTTTCCAATCAGCCTCACTGATTTGACCTTCACTTTTCTTCCTTCAGTGTGGCCCAGGGTCCCAGATCCTACCTAGGCTTTGGCCTCGGGTGTCATGGTACTTTCCTGGACCTTCTCCTGTACTGATGACCCTCCTTTCCCCTCTGGGCCCTTGTATCCATTCGCTCTACTTTCCACCACTGCTGCAGGGAACCCAGCGGCGCCCCCCGCCCCCCGCCCCGACTGCCCTGGCTAACCTGATGACAGTGGCGCTATCTATTGCCCTCAGGAAGGAAGGACTAGCAGGTGTTTTCGCATCTTCTTTGAAAGTATTTCCTTGAGCAGCTTATACATGTAGTCTGTGTGTGTGTGTGTTAGTCACTCAGTCATGTACTACTCTTTGCAACCCGGGGACTGCCAGACTCCTCTGTCCATGGAATTCTCTAGGCAAGAATGCTAGAGTGGGTTGCCATTCCCTTACCCATGGAATCTTCCCAATCCAGGGATCGAATATAGGTCTCCTGCATTGCAGGCAAATTCTTTACTGTCCGAACCCCCAGGGGAGCCCCTACTTGCAGTCTATACTTATCACCAAAGCACGTTGTGCCATAACTTCTACAGAGTTTATGCAGAAATCAAGCATTTTCCAAAAGCTGCATTGATTTTCTATTATATTAAAGCATGACCACCCATTAATAACACTACAAAAGAGAATCTAAATGTTCTTAACTCTCCCAGAGAAGTATTGAGTTACTCAGTTAACTAATAGTACTTTTTGGGTAAAAAAAGTTTCTGTAGGGAATAGCAGGTGTAGGCTCTGTCCAGGAACTTCCAGGAGAGCATTTGAAGATCTCTCTGATCCCATAATGATTAATGATGTCACCAGTCAAATCCTTTCAGAAGCCAGTGCTACAGAGCAAATGTCCTATCCAAGCTCAGTAGACAGAGTTACCTCTGGAGCTCCCGGAGACTCTGAGGGACTCACTTGCCCTGTCCCTCTGTATGGCTTCAGGCCTCTTTCCCTTTCATTCTACCATGATTGCCATTCTCCAAACCAAAAGGCATTCCACATCTCACAGATATTCTGAAAATAGCAGGGAATCTTCCAGACCCAGGAATCAAAACTGTGTCTCTTACATCTCCTGCATCGGCAGGCAGGTTCTTTACCACTGTCACCACCTGGGAAGCCCAAAAATAGCAAGACTTTTTTTTTTTTTTAACAGAAAGCAGTTTATTTCATGTAACTAACTAACTAATTTTTGGTTGTTCTGGGTCTTTGTTGCTTTGCACGGGCTTTCTCGAGTTGCGGTGAGCGGGAGCTCCTCCTCACGGCCGCGAAAAGGCTTCTCACTGCAACGGCTTCTCTTGTTGCGGAGCGCAGGCTCTAGCGTGCAGGCTCAGTGGTTGTGGCACTTGGGCTTAGCTGCTTCGAGGCATGTGGAATCCTTCTGGCCCAGGGATCGAACCCATGACCTCTGCTTTGGCAGGTGGATTCCCACCCACAGCGCCACCAGGGAAGTCCCAGCAGGACCTATTTTAAGTCAGAATGTCCTTTAGAAAACCAGAGACAATGAGGTCTTAGACATATTTCAAATTAAGTCTAACTCTAAGGACCTCCCAAGAGATGGGAAAATGCTAACCTTCCAAAGTCTTACCTGGGCAGCCAAAGACTGTCCTAAGATAGGCAGCCTTTGAGTAACTGTCTCCACACTTACTGTTTTACCCCATTCATAAAGGTTGAGAAGCCTGCTGTCGGCTGAACATCACACCCTCAGATTTGCCCCATCCTATAATCTTTTGGGGAAAACTCATCAAGGGTCACCGCCAGTCCCTACCCCGGGGCCCCAGGAGACTTTCTATTCAAGAAGACTAATTGTCCCGACTGCTCATCTTTGGACAGTTCTAGGCCTGGTTCCTGCATGTGACTCTCCACCTGCGTCACATGCCATGAACATTATCCAGGGACCTCTGCTCTCTTCTTGTTCCCCCTTTCCTTGGCCGTTCTCTCTGGAAGATGTTCTTGACTCTAAGATATGTTCCTCCACTCAGCCCTACCCCACATTTCACTGAACGAATGGGGGAACTGGGAGGAAATCCCATTTGCTGTGCTCCTTCCAGCGGCAGGCTCAGCGGACGCTCTTCATATCCACTGCCTTATTTATCTATCACAAAGCCCTTGATAGGAAATGAAAGAGAATTTTAAAACTTCGCCAAAGTCAACAGGTATTAGGTGGTATCATCAGCCATTTCAGTACTGTCAAGTGGGGGGGGGGAGCACAACCTGGGAGCTGTGAGTTCTGGGGGACTTACTAAGAACTCTAGTGCAAGATACAGTCTCTCAGAGAGCTCTGAGGAATGCTCCCAAGAGATGAGGCAGACAGGTCAGCATGTGCAGTTTTGGAAAAGGGTGACATGCAGTCAAGCACACATTGGTAGAAGGTTAGTCATAAGGAACAGGTATCTCAGTTAATGACTTTAGATCTTTTCTAAGTATGGGAAGATATAAGACACCAGGTTCATTAAAAAAATCCTCCTAAAATATTTCTAGCTATGTGAGGGCCTGTTTTCCCAGAGCACCAAGTGCTTCATTCTGATCTTCACCTGAATTCCTTTCAGAGTGAATTGTAAGTCAGTGGTTACATTGGCTAATGACTTGATTCTTGTAGAACTAGATGGTGAGCAACATTCTTTGTTTTACTGTAGAACTGAGCCTTGAATCCAGAACTGTCTACTTCTAAAGCCACTGCCCTTTCCCATATCCTCCCTGCCGCCCAAATAGCCAGCCTGTTCCGTGCACCACCAGCCCCTTCCCGTCTCACGCTGACGTCTCCAGATGACTCAAACTGTTCCCCAAAGCTAGGAGATATTTCACACCGTGTCTTTTTTTCAAAGATAGAGTCAAACTAAAATGAGATTAGACTAAAAGCAGTCTTTTAAAAATAAAAAAAGAAGCAATCTCTCATTACCACTTTGTGGGAAGATTTGCTCTTTCTCAAAATTCAACAGTATCAGTAAGTTTGGGATTTTCAAATTGTGTGGGGTTGACCACTAGGGCCAGAGTTTCAATGTTTCATTTGTTTTCCAGAAAAAAGAGCTCAGCATAAAATGCAGCTAATAGTGAGGTTTTGTTGGGGCTTTTTGCATAATAAAAGTCGTAACTGAGCAACATTAGCTACAGACACCCCTCCCCATAAATCCATGGAGACTCTGTGAAAAGCATTTCAGAGAAATCCAAACCCCAAGTAGTCTTTGGCAAGGGGTAATTTGCCATGATGGTAGTTAAATAAGGAGAATATTGAGTAGCTGACTACAAAGAAGCATCTGAAAATGAAACTAGCTGTGGCTCAAGTCCCTCAGTGGAAAATGTATATAAATTTCTCACATGTGGCAGTCCAAACTGGTCTCTTTCTTTCATAAGACAAATTTGACAATGCATACCAAGGAGCTTAAATCATACCCTTTTGGCCTAATAATCCCACGCCTATGAATTTATCTCAAGGAAATAAGTCATAAAGAATAAAGAAGACTATACATATTTCTATAGCAGCATTATTTATAATTAGCAGAAAGCCGGAAGCAACCTAATTTTCCAGTAATAATGGAAAGGCTTAGTACATTTTGGTATCTTAATTCTTTGGGATATCATGCAGCTATTAAGAATATGATCATAATGTACAAGCAAGAAAAGAGATAAGCATAGGATACAGAATACAGAATGCAAATATGCAGTGGTTATAGACATGCAGAAATATGCATGTTGATAAGCAATAAGAGGGGAGACCATGAGATGAAACCAAGTATGTTAGCACAGTGAGATTACAAATTTTAAACATTAAGAATTTATTTTATAAGGACCATATTTAGCTTCTAGGGATTTTTTCCCCTTGTTTTATCTGCTGCAACTTATATAGACTATTTCATAATTACTATTGGATCAGAAGATTATTTTACAAAGAATACATGTGGAACATTCTAGCCAAGTGTGAAATATAGAGAATTACTAATTTAGAAATGCTAACACTGTTGTTTTAATTTGCAGTGAGGGGAATTTGGCTACAAAGCAGGTTGTATTCCTTCAGAGACCAGTTATGTGGAATTCAGCTGCTCAAACACCAGAAGTGAGTAAAAGTGATGCTTTATGAACTGTTAAACTGAACCATTCAATCCTTAATCTCTCACTGTAATTCTAAATGGTGAACAGATGAGGAAGTGGGAACTTAATAAGGAAACAGCCTTCTGAACCAACATATAACAAGGGAAATATGCCAGCAAACAGGAATATGAGACGGTTCTGAAGGAAATCAGAATATGACCCCAAAGTATGCCGTTTGGGTGTATGGATTACTATTCAGAGCTAAAGGCAACGACACAGAACGTCTCCCTTTCTGACAAAAGCAGGGCATAAATTTTCCTTTTGCCAATGTGACAAAACATTCCCTGTGTGAAGTTGCTTCCCTCTCCTGTACCAGAGATGACTCATCACTGGGAGCACCACCTGCAGTCCCCAAAACTTACTAAACCCCTTCCTGCATGAGCTTCCCAAATACTTGTGCTCAGGTGTGCTGTCATGTCCAGACTCTTCACATCCCTGTGGACTGTAACCTGCCAGGCGCCTCTGTCCATGGGGATTCTCCAGGCAAGAATACTGGAGTGGGTTTCATTTCCTCCTCTGGGGAATCTTCCCGACTCAAGGATCAAACCTGGGTCTCCTGCACTGCAGGTGGATTGGATTCTTTACCACTAAGCCATCCCTAGATACTTACCTTCCCACAGTTTACTGCCCCTAAGACCCCAAATCCCTTCTTATCTGTCTGGTCACTTCACCACAGTGTGACACCCTTTGTAAAATGAAAATCATCTCCCAGGTCTAACTGCCTCTTTGGGCTTTCCTTCCCTGTGCAGCCTTCGTGTGCATCCAAAATAAACCTTTTCTCCTATTAATCTTCTTCTAGTTTACTTTGCATGTCTGAGATGCTGAACCTCAGATGATAGAGGAAAAGATTTTCTGTTCCTACAGTTATAAGCCTCATAAGTGAATGTGCCTGATATTATGACAGATCTGTGCAATCTTGACTTCTGGCAGCACTTTTGTATTGTCTCCTCAAGGTCATATTTTTTCAGTTCTTTGCTGAAGGGCTCTGCTGAATCTCAAGTCACCTTATTCTTACTAGACTCCTACTAGATGCACACTTAGAATAGTATCATTGAATGAAGCAATCTTAATTATGGCATAATTAATCTTAATTAATTAAGACCTAACTTTCAAAAAAGGAAGTTTGCAAATGGACCAGAAAACTATTTAAAGTGATTCTGTATTATCAAGAAAATAATGTTTTAGAAAACGTCAAAGTTTTTCTAAACTAGCAAAGCTATTGATAGACTAACAGTGTATGTAATTCAGCCATGCTAAGTTGTCTCACATTGATTTTGGACGGACTCTAGCTGGTCCCACAGGCAAGCAGGTAGAGGGGCTGTATGTGGATAGGAAGATAACTCCCTTAGGAGAGCAGAGTGATCAAGTCAACAAAGATTTCAGAAAGACTGAATTAGAGCCCACAGGTGAGCAGTGCCTTCCAGTCCTGGGGAGAACGGCTCAGCTTCCAAGTTCCCAAGAGACGTTCTGTGGGGCTTCCCTGGCAGACCGGTGGGTAAGCCTCTGCCATTGCAGGAGCACCGTTTCCATCCTGGGTCCCTGGTACTAAGATCCCACAAGCTGCGCTGTGCCACCAAATAAATACATGAAGTATGAAATATATATATATGTAATATATATATATACATATTCTGTCAAGAAAAACCTATATAAAGAATGGCCAGAAAAAGTTTTTGTTCTTTCTCCTTCCCAAAAGCAACTTTTCACCATGCTATAGCCTTCTCTTTTTCTTTTTTTCTTTTTTAAACATTATGCAAGTGGCCATCGTTTCTGAGAAAGATCAACAGAATTCACAGCCTAATAGGATTTTGACTAACGAGGGCTCTGTACTTGATGTCTGTGAAGATATAAGACCACATTCAGCTGCTTCACAGCCTTCTTTCTTAGGGTTATATATCAATTCTGTGATTCCATGAAAATATCTGAGCTCTTTTTGTTTAAATACCATTCAGTACTCCAGTGACAGCTTTTCTTTGGGTAATCTTTACATTTACATCCATTATAATCTAAAACTACTTCTTCACTTATTTAATAGTAAGGAAGTATATAAATGGTCAGTTTGGGATGTTCCTCATGGTCCAGGGGTTAAGACCGTGCGCTGCCACTGCAGGAAGCATGGGTTTGGTCCCCGGTCAGGGAACTTAGATCTCCTGTGCTGTGGGCACAGCCCAAATTTTTTTTTTTTTAGATAAAAATTAAGTGGTCAGTTTGCATCTCTGAGGAGCCCAGCAATAACATATTTTATAACTTAGAATTCTACTTCTAAGTTGATTTAGCATTTTTTCCTTTGACAAATGTTTAATTTTCCTAGCAGGAAACCTCAGGATATTGAGATTATTTCAGGACAGAACATGTAAGTGGTTCAGTCTGGAGCTAAAGTATCTAATAACTATAACAGAAAATCAACTTGTAAATACTTTTTATTTTCATAGTGGAAATAATTTATTATTTTATTTCAAGAAGGTAGTAGACCATCAGTGTCACCGCAGAGTTAATTTAGCATCTAATATGTATTTTGTAAAAGTTATACATTTATAACATGTCTTAAAAAAATTCTTATTTAGTTTTAAGATCATAATGGCACTGTTCTTTGCTTCTACCTTGAAATCAGTTGTTGTTGGGGAGGGGTTGATAGGAGATTGCTTCATTTATACAGGTTTTCAAATAATTGTTTCAAAGGTGAAAACTGTTAGTCACTCAGTCCTGTCCAATTCTTTGTGACCCCATGGACTGTAGCCCGTCAGGCTCCTCTGTCCATGGAATTCTCCAAGCAAGAATACTGGAGTGGGTCCCTTCTTCAGGGAATCTTCCCAACCCAGGGATTGAGCCTGGGTCCCCTGCACTGCAGGTGAATTCTTTACCATCTGAGCCACCAGGGAAGCCTTTTTCAAAGGTGTTTAGCTCTAAAAACCAGTTGGTGGAAATTTGAAACATCACAAACATTGCCTTATGATTGTCAAGGAGTTTTCAATAAAATTATAAATTTCATGGGGCTGTTGGAAATTGATCTAAGGTTTAATCCTTGAAAAAAAATTTCTCTTTCTTTTACTAAGACTAATGTTAAGATATATAAAACTTCTTGTTTCAATTACACTCAACATGGAACAGTACTTTTATGTTAAGCAAAGCCATTTCATGCCTGTGTTTTAAAGGAGGGAATTGAGAATTGCATAATGAAGAAAACATATCATTGGAATTTTTTCTTCTGAAGTTATAAAGACCTTTACTTTTGTAATTTTTTTTGTTTCAAAGGTGTTTTATACAATATTCTAGATAGCTTGAGAAATTTTAAAATATGGTCAACATAAATTCAAATATTTATACTCCCAATTTCTGTCTCAATTTCTTTAAGCTATTGAGGCTTCCCAGGTAGCGCTAGTAGTAAAGAACCCTCATGCCAATGCAGGAGACAAGAAGGTTCGATTTCTGGGTTGGGAAGCTCCCATGGAGGGGGGAACGGCAACTCACTCCAGTATTCTTGCTTGGAGAATCCTATGGACAGAAGAAACTGGCAGACTACAATCCATAGGCCTGGATGGAGGAAACTGGCAGGCTACAATCCTTTGCAACCATTGGGTCCCAAAGAGTCAGACACAACTGAAGCAACCTAGCACTAACACTAGCATTGAGAGATAGTTTGTTTTAGGAAAATCAGAAAACTTTTAGGGAAAAAAATAGGAAAAAATCTTCATGAACTGGGGCTAAGCAAAGAGTTCTCAGATATGACTCTAAAAGCATAATTCATTTTAAAAAATTGGTAAATTAGACTTTATCAAAATTTAAACTTTTGCTTTGTGAATGACACTAAGAAAATAACAGACAGCCACAGACTGGGAGAAAAAAATTTTGCAAATCACATATGTGACAAAAGACCAGAAGGTATCTTAAAACTTAAAAAATAAGAAATAAGCAATGCAGTTAAAAAATAGTTAGAAGTCTTGAACCAATGAGGATGTGTAGATGAGAAGTAAACACATTAAAAAGACATTTAAATCATCAGTCATTAAGGGAAATGCAAATGAAAACCATGATGAGACCATACATCTACTAGAATGACTAAAATTAAAAAAACATTGACAATTCTAGGAACTATCAAGAATGAGGAGAACTATAAAACACTGCTGGTGGGAATGCCAGGTGGTACAACCACTCTGGAAAATGATGTGGCAGCTTTTTATGGGGTTAAACATGCACTGAGATATGACCCAGCAATCCCTCTCATGAGCATTTGCCCTAGAGAAAGAAAAACTTTTGTTTACACAAAGAGCTACACATAAAAGTTGAATGTTCTATTCATCATCTCCCAAAACTGGAAACAATCCAAATGTCTTCAACAGATTTATGGATAAACAGCTGTGGTATTTCCACACAACGAAATACTACTTAGAAATAAAAACACATGCACTCTTTTTCTTTTTTTGGCCACGTAGCATGTGGGATTTTAGTCCTCCAACCTGGATTAAGTCCTGCGGCCCCTGCAGTGGAAGCCCAGAGTCTTAACTGAACTGCCAGGGAAGTACCCACCTACACTCTTGATAGCCACAATTACGTGGATTAATCTCAAAACTGGGGAAAAAGTGGAAACAGTGGCAGATTTTATTTTCTTGGGCTCCAAAATCACTGTGGATGGTGACTGCAGTCACAAAATTAAAAGATGCTTGCTTCTTGAAAGAAAAGCTATGACCAACCTAGACCTCACTTTGCTGACAAAGGTCCCTGTGGTCAAAGCTATGGTTTTTCCAGCAGTACTGTACGGATATGCGAGTTGGACCATAAAGAAGGCTAAGTGCCAAAAAAATTGATGCTTTTGAACTGTGGTGTTGGAGAAGACTCTTGAGAATCCCTTGGACAGCAAGGAGATCAAGCCAGTCGGTCCTAAAGAAAATCAACCCTGAATACTCACTGGAAGGACTGATGCTAAAGCTAAAGCTCTAATACTTGGCCTCCTGATGTGAAGAACTGATT